TACTCAGCCCACATAAGGGCACACCATGAGTACCCAGCTTGGGTGATAGGGGAGGCTGTGCCTCTGGTCCTATAGGGTACCTAATACATCAGGCCATACTACCAAGACAGGGAGTCATAGCAGTGCACTGTACCCTACAGGACACTAACTACATTAGGACACACTACCAAGACATGGTGTCAAAGCAGCTCTACCTAATACATAGAAACAAACACAGGAAAGCTGCCAAAATGAGCAGCCAAAAAAACATGGCCCAAATCAGAGTATAGGTCAAAACTCCAGAAAAAGAGCTAAGTGAAATGGAGATAAGCAATGTATCAGATACAGAGTTCAAAACACTGGTTATAGGTATGCTCAGGGAATTTGATGAGGACCTTGACAGCATAAAAAAGATCCAGTCAGAAATGAAGGATACATTAATTGAAATAGAGAACAATTTGCAGGGAAACAATAGAGTGGATGAATCTGAGAATGAAATCAATGATATGGAACATAAGGAAGCAAAAAACAACCAATCAAAACAAGAAGAAAAAGAATTTAAAAAAGTGAGGATAGTATAAGCAGTCTCTGGGACAACTTCAAGAGGTCCAACATTCACATCATAGGGGTTCCAGAAGAAGAAGAGAATGAGCAAGAAATTGGAAATCTATTTTAAAAAATAGTGAAAAAAAAACCTTTCCTAATTTGGTGAAGGAAATAGACATGCAAGTCCAGGAAACACAGAGAGTCCCAGACAAGATGGACCCAAAGAGGCCCACCCCAAGATACATCATAATTAAAATGCTAAAGGTTAACAACAAAGAGAGAATCTTAAAAGCAGCAAGAGAAAATAAGTTAGTTACTTACAAGGGAGTTCCCATAAGACTGTCAGCTGATTTCTCAAAAGAAACTTTGTAGGCTAGAAGGGATTGGCAAGAAACATTCGAAGTTATAACAAGCAGGGACCTACAGCCAAGATTTCTCTACACAGCAAAGGTATCATTTAGAATTGTAGGGTAGATAAAGAGCTTCACAGACAAGAAAAAACTAAAGGAGTTCATCATCACCAAACTATTATTATGTGAAATGTTAATGGGTCTTATTTGAGAAAAAGATGATAAAAAATATGAGTAATAAAGTGGCAAAACATATATCTATCAACAATTGAATCTAAAAAACTACCCAAACAAGAAGAACAGAGACAGAATCATAGATGCAGAGAGCATTTTTATGGTTGTGAGATGGGAGGGAGGTATGGGAGAATGAGTGCAGTGGTGAGGGGATTTGTACTTACAAATGAGTAGTTACCAAATAGCCATGGGGATGTCAAGTACACTACAGGAAATGAAGTAGCCAGAGAACTAATAGGCGTGACCCATAGAAATGAGCAATTGTGGGGGCATTGACTGAGGGAGTAGGGAATGCTGGGTGGAGGGGCAGCAAAGGGGGAAAATCATGAAAACTGCAATAGTATAATCAATAAAATATAATTATAAAATTAAAAGAAAATGCAAAAAATATATAACAAACTCTATTGATGGCTAGCTTGAGGGGCAGGGAGTCTTTAGCAACTTTTTAAAAAAGATTTTATTTATTTATTTTTAGAGAGAGGGGAAGGGAAGGAGACAGAAATGGAGAAAAATACTGGTGTTAGAGAGTAACATTAATCAGTTGCCTCTCACAGGTGCCCTGACTGGAGATGGAACCTGCAACCCAGAAATATGCCCTGACCAGAAATTGAACCAGCAATGATGCTCAACTGAGCCACACCAGTCAGGCATATATAGTAACTTTTAAGTCCTCTGTAAATGTCTCTTTAGAAGATAAGCCTACTACTGAGTTAGATGTATAAGAAGGTGAGATAAGTTCTTTTCTTTTCTTTCTTTCTTTCTTTTTTTAGTTCACTGCTTCTTTAGGAACTAACAATTTACCGTAAATAAATGCTCAACTAGGTCCCTTGGAGCAACTTTAATGTTATGACAGAGTAGGAACTAGTTGGATCTAAAAGTATATGTGTATCCCCCATTTGAAAACTAAGAGGATAGGGCGCCTGTCTTTAGGATCTTCTGTGTCTTCTGTAGCCATGTTTGCTCCTCAAGTCATATCCCCTGAAAAGATCCCACCAGCTCAGTAAAAGCTTTTCTGGTCCTGCTACAACTGACACAGTGAAGAGGGCTGGCTCAGTAAAGACCCTGGGAAACTTCTGGCTTTACTGCTTACTCAAGTGGGAGCACCTTAAATTCAGGGTGCATCTTCATGTTCTTACTTGTCACCAGAGGTTAGTGCTAGTTCTCTGTCTCTTTCTTAAGGGCATCAGGAGACTATAATGAGTCCAAGAATATGAAAAAGCTTGGTAAACTCTTCCTGCAGCAGATTAGAGGGTAAGGCGACCATTCCTCACTGCTTGAATATTTGCCTTTGGGAAGAATTAGTCTGAGGTGGAGAAAAGTGCACTTTGAAAACTAAAACCCTAAAAAGGAAGCTAATGGCTCAAACAAATGTCAGATTTATTTATAAGTGGTAATTAATGGAAAATGAACTTGATGTACTGAGCAGTCAGAGGAACATTCAGGTTTCAAATCCTCTCTACCTATCTCTACTTGAAAGGAAAAAAAGAAGAAAAAAGGAAGGAAAAGCAGAAGGAAGGAAAGAAGAAAAGAAAGAAGTTTCTGAGCATAAACAGTAAAGGCGAACATAATTTGGGGACAGAATCACTTAGTGAGAAAATATTTGTTTGTATAATTCCTCTTGTTAGACTGAGCTCCTCCAGGTTGGAACTGGATCGTATTCATCTTTGTGTGGCATATCCTAGAGACTATATAGGATGAATCATACAGCATTGCCACTTTTATAGACAAAAACAGTTTAATATTGGCAATGCCATATGAGTTAACATCTAAGTGTTAGATCAAGGTGCAAAAGATCTAAGGGTCATACTCATTCAGTGAATTTTAACCTGTTCCCATAATACCTTTCCCACTTCCCACACCCGGTCAGGGAGGTGGGACTTTCCTTTCACTGTCTGCTTAACTCTCAAGATTCATGCCTCTCTCTTTTAAGGCTGCCTTTGGTGTTCTCTTGAACTTAAGGGTTTCTAAATACTATGTACATGCTGTACTAGTGTCCCTCTCTTAGAGTCTTCATCCCTCTAAAGAAGGAGCCTCATTAGGACCCAAATTTAAATTCCCATTTTATCTGATATAATAGGCTCTAGTCAAACAAATGGAATTTCTTCACGATAGCGGGTATAGGTGTTTTTTTCTTCCCTCCCTTTCATTTCCTTCCTCCCTTACCTCCTCTTCCTCTGCCCTTTGTCCTTCCTTTCTCTCTTTCTTCCTCCTCTCCCTCCCTCCATTCCTTACTTCCTTCCGTCCTTCCTGCCAGATAAAGTAGATAGACTTGTGTGAACTAAAAGGCATGGCAAGGCTTATATCATGGGTTCCCAGAGAGGACACCCAGATCTTACATAATTCCTTTAGCCCCTCAGGATGCTGAGCATTGGACAGAGGTTATGTTGAATGGGATTTATGCAAGTAGATCTCCAGGTGGGGGTCATGAACTTCCATTTCCCCTTCCATCTATTTGTTTCTTTTGTTTATTTTTGTCTGAAAGATTTGGTTTGGCAGTGTTTGGCTCTGTGACAATGTGGCATAAGATTCACACCATCACAATCATTTTTGCATCACATTATGTCATTAACACGCAGAGCAACACCGCAAACTTTATTTTTATCATAATGACAATATACAGAGGCCTTGAAAGGTATAATGATTTTATAAAATAGATAAGGCCATCAGTCCCCTCTTGCTGAAAATCCAAACAGCAGCAGAGATAGGGCCTGGGAGATGTAGCATGATAACCACGCGGACACATGAGAATGCAGGCTCAAAGGGCAGGCACTGGGGTTTGCTTTGTTCCCTGCTGCACTGGAGTCGAGAACAGAGCTGGCAATGAGATATTGTGAGGGAACAGGTTAAAGCTGAAAGAATGACATTTAGATCTTTTGCATCTTTAACCCTAATGAAATACATAGTAGGCACTGAGAAATAGTTGTTGAATGGATGATCAGGCATTGCAGTTCAACTACTGGGTTGATGTTATCATAATTCCATAATTACTCAGTTCACTAGTCACATATCCCCTCTGAGCTTGTTTTCTCATTTCTAAAATGGATAGTTGTGCCTGTCTAGCAGGGCTGTTGAAAAGATTAAATGAAAATTCATGGAAAGCATAATAGTAGGCATTTAATAAATGCTAGTGCTTTTTTTCCTTTCTAGTTTTATTAAGAATACATCTGTTTGTGAGTTCATGTGTGTGTGTGTGTGTGTAGTATGTGTGTGTGCTTAAGGGGACAAGAGAGGCTAGGAGAAACAAGCTATTTGGTTCATGTTGATCAGGGTTTCTCAAACTCAGCTCAGCACTATGCCATTTTAGGCTGGATAATTGTTTGTTGTGGGGGCTATTCTGTGCACTGCAGGATGTTTGGAAGTACTGCTGCCCTCCATCTACTAGATACAGTTACACCCCTCAGTCTTGACAATCAAACATGTCTCTAGATATTGCTGATGTTCCCTAGGAAGCAAAATTGCCTCCTGTTAAGAGCAAGTGATTCTGATCACCACTGAACAATTAAATATTTCAATTTGTAAACAAGTTGTCAGGTACTGTGTATACATTGCCTGTTGTTATATGTTTAAATGTACATAAAATCAGGGCATATACAAAAGAAAAACAGCAAACATTAAATTAAGCTATATAGCTAACCCATAATTATCCATGAAGTGAGTAATGATTTATTGCCCTGCATTAGATTGTTTTCCTAAGTATGGTTGGTTTAGATTCATCATATTAACAGCAATCAATTTCCTGGATACACACTGGCTAATAACAGGGAGAGATGGCAAGCGTGCATGGGGAGAAATTATTTGGGTTTCTTAAATTATCATGGATACCCACAAAGTGCACACTTTAACCACAGGTTATTAGGAAACTTAAAAAGTAATAGCAACATTCATACTTACAGGTGAATTAAAGACTTTAGTCCCCGGAAAGTATGTTTTGAAATGGACTTGATGTTGTTGTTTTCTATGAATCTGCAATAGGTTATAATATTTTTGTTAGACAGCTGTAGGAATCTAAGAGCACTTGGCCTGAATCATTACGTTAAAAAAGGTTTTTTTTACTTACAAATACTCTAAATGTGGAAGACCAATAAAAGCATCATCACTGATCACATCAAAGGAGTTCGATGTGAATAACCTGCCCAGAAAAAGTACACAATGAAAATGGTTAAACTGACAGATTGTCAATTTATGCTGCTTTTTCTCTCAGAGAAACGAGTGGGAGTTGTATATGGAAAAATGTCTGGATGTCTGCCTTCTAAAGTGTCATTTATTCAGGTAATTTTTATAGCTTTTTAAAATCCCCAGTTATCTCCTCACCAAATGTTTGGCCAGGAAGGGGGGCTTTGTGCCCCACTCCCCACAGTGATAGACATCACATGTGCTGGCCAACATTTTGAGATACAATTTGGGCAATACGAGAGCTGAATCAACATTTGCACATTTTCGTGAAAAAGACACTAACAGAATCCTTCTCTTTGTGCAAAAAAGTTCTGAAATATCCCAACCAGCCCAAACAATGGTGCTTCTGGGTTTTAAGCCTGGGAAATTTTAAAAAGTAGCTCCATGCCTCATTGTGCTATAACATCTCATGGAATACAAGCCCTCAACACTGGCTCAGTAAACAACTAACCTCTGAAAACAGAACAGGCTGAAGCTGTATAATAATGGGGCTTAGGAAGAGTCTTAACTCCCTTTATTATTAACTAATTGAGAACACTAACTTGGACAAATTTACTTGCACTTTCAAAATCTGCAGGGATTTGGTTTCAAAATTACTGATGAAAGGGGACATTAACCAGCAGTCCCCACACCATGTTGAACTCTTTGGAGAACTTGCCAGTTTTCTGAACGGGAGGTTTAAAAGAGGTGATCATAGACTAAATAATACAAAGCAGGTTTTTTTGTTTTGTTTTAGAGAAAGCATTAAATTGTGGAACTCGTTAGATTAAGTGTTGATACAAGCTAAAAATAAAATTTTAAATGTAGTGATAAATAATTTATAATGGGCTCAAATGACATTCAGTCTCCTTGTTAAGGTTCTCATGCAGGGGAATCTCATATTCCATCTGTAACTGTTGTCCAAAATGTGACAATGATCATGGACCAGACCAGATGTTAGACATAATTTAACAATTCTCATCACATGTGTACTGTTTAATTGCACTATGAAAAGGCCAATATTCTCTGTTATCACCTTTTTTATTTTTTCTTTTGCAGTTTAGGGATTAAAAATAACTGCCACTAACTAGCTTAGTGATTCACCTCTCTGAGCCTGTTAACTAAGGAGATTGAAGCTAGGAGATCTCACTTTCTGAACAGTTATGAATAACTTATTTGATTTAGTAACTGGGATTGCTTCAAAATGACCAGGGGAGGAGACAGCAGTGGATTAGAGATGAATTGAGCATGAGGTGATCATTTTTGAAGCTGAAAGATGGATACATGGGAGTGAATTTTATTATCTCTACTTTTTTATATGCTTGACATTTTCCATAAAAATGGGGGGGAAACATGGACCGAACAAACAAAACTAGATGATCTCTTACATTTCTCCCTAAGCTGTCAGTCCTGGAGCAATGTGTTCTCTTGGATCCCTTCTCCCTCCAATGTCCTAGCTTTATACTCCAGTAATTCACTAGGCTCTGAAAAGTCAACACTGATTACTGACTAGTCATACATATTAGATGTCCACAGTTATTAAAAAATTCAGAAGTTTGTGATTTTAAGTGTATGAGTTTATGATTGCCAAATGCTTTGGCAAATGCCTCTTCTTGCTTCATGGTTCTGGAAAACAAGAAGATTGTGCAGCCTTCCCCCAAGATAAGCTAACACCCAAAGACCCAAGACTTCCTGAGGCTCCAGATTTTCATTTCATTCTGTATAGACAGCATCAGGGATGGAGAGAATGGAATAAGGCAGAAATAGATACAGAAAAATACTTCCCATGCTCACTGGTTTGCCAACTGTCCCGTGGGTGGACCAGCGACTTCATAATCATGCACTTCAAGTCACCAGAAGAAATAGCTTCTCTCACTAGTTCCCCTTATGTTGAATCAGATGCAAAACAGAGTGGGAAATGGATATTAGTGGGCAGAACTTGCCCACACATGTCAGGGAAATAAAACAGGATTTCCACTAGAATTTTTATCTGCGTGATCATTACTTATCCCTAACACCTGTAATACTGCCTGTCCTATAGTGCACACTGAGTAAATATTTGTTAAACTAAGAGGAATTTACTTTGCACTAAATTCTGAGCATTACTGCATTACTACATTGAATGTTCCTTAGAGCAAGAACTTATCCTTACTTGCTTTTGTGTCCCTAGCCTCGAGCACAGCTCTTGACTGAATAGTGTTTGTTGAACTAGATTTCAAGGATTAAAACCTCTGGTTAAAACCTCAACTACATACAAAAATATGGATGACATTCAGAATTGAAGTAAAAGGAAAGAAGCCAGAACACAATAAAATATCTCCTATATAATTGTACTTATATAAGAAACAAAACCCAGCAAAACTGATTGATGCTGGCAGAAGTCAAAACAGTGTTTACCCTAGGAGGCAAGTAATGACTGGAAGGAGACACAAGGGAAGTCGTTGGGGGTAGTGATAATGTTTGGTTTCTGGGTGCTATTACAAGGGTGTTCACTTTATTTTTAAAAACTATGGTGGGGCAAATAAATAAGCAGAGCACAGGGGATTTTTTAGGGCAGAGAAAATACTCTGTATGATACCATAATGATGGATACATGTCATTATACATTTGTCCAAACCTATAGAGCATACAACACCAAGAGTGAACCCCTGTGTAGACTGCAGACTCTGGGCAATAATGTAGGTTCATCAACTCTAGTAAATGTACCACTGTGCTGGGGGATGTTGGTAAGAGTGAGGCTATGCATGGGTCAGGGTAGGGAGCACATAGAAAATATCTATGACTTCTCAATTTTTCTGTGAACCCAAAACTGCTCTAAAAATACAAAGTCTTAATTTTTAAAAGTTGAGATGTACACTTAGGATATGTGTACTTTATGTATATTACATTTCAACAAAAGGTTTCTAATAAAGTGAAAAATTTCCCGTTGACTGGGATAATACTGAATATCAATCCTTCAATTCCAAATTCAGTTGTAGTTTTCTGTAGACAAGGATTCCATGAACAAGGATGTGTAAAATTGAGTGGGCTATCCATTTTATTAACTTGTGTAAAGCTAAAAAGACTTTAAAACATCATGTTCTATAAAGTGGATGAAACTCTGATGCTTAATATTTTATGGATTCCTTTGAATATGTTTGATTTTAACATTAGGACTTGGTTTTGTGCCAGATATGTTAAGGAATTCCACAGTTCCTGTTCAGGAAAACTGTGCTCACCCTCCCTCCCAACCCCCAGCTCCATACACAGCAGACTTGGGGCAGACCAGGTTGGCCATACTTTATACCACACAAACTCTGCCTCTTTCCTCAGATTAGGGCAAGAAGGACTCAGCTTCTTATACAGGATAACTGATTCTGAGGTCTGTCAGCATGGCATAGCTCAAGTAGCCTGGCTCAAAAAGGTGAGTTGGGCTGAAGATGAGTTCCTTCTTGGGGCTTTGGAATCAGCAGAGATGGAGCCAGGTGGCAGAGGACCTGAGGGAGGAAGGATGCCTTAGAGCTAAGTTAAATCCATGCAGGTGGAAGTATGTGCAAGACATACTTAGGAAATAACACCAGGTGGAGATATGTGTGCAAAAGGAAAGCGTATGTGAAGGCAGGAGCAGGGAGTCCTCTAGATCTGTGTTAGATCCTAAACCAGTACTTCTCAGTCTTGGTCACACTTGGAATGATCTGGGGAACTTTAAAAATACTGATACCTGGTTCTCAACCTCAGGGATATGGTTACATTCTATACCTGGGTGTGGCCTGGGCATAGGGACATTTAAAAGCTCCCTAGGTGCCCTTAGATGCAACCAGGGCTGCATATTGTACAATAACCCCCCCCCTTTTTCTGTGGTGACCACGGGGGCCTCTGCCCTTTGCAGCAAGTCTGGCTGGGGCAGTTGCTGTGGTATGGACCTGCTGTGGACTGTCTTGTCCTCGTAACTACACATAGCCATAATCTGTGATACTACGACTTGGATTTCACAACTCTCCTCATGATGACAGTACCATGAGGGACTAGTGGGGACCAATGAACCTTCTGCTACCCTGAGCTACACATCAGAGATCTGGACCCCAAAGTCTTGCCAAGCAGCAATCCTATGGGTTTGTACAGAGATGGCATAGAATTTGCCCTCTGCCCCTGATCTTGTGGGAAAATTTGAGGTATCTGCCATTTCCTATGTTCTTAGGGAAGGAAGAGCTAAGCTTTTTTCCCTTGAATTTTGGTGGAGGAGGACACAGAATATTCACTTACATCTCTCAGCCAACAGTCCTGTGAATTCAGTAAGAAAAGAGACTGTTGGAGGAATGAAGAGGATTTTTTTTTCTGCAGTCAAAAAAGTATATATGTTATCTTACCAAGAAGGAGATTTAGAAAAACTGTACATATCAACTATCAATTTCAGGCCGGTGATAGCTCATTCTTTAAATGATGATTGTTGATTTCATTATAGCCTACATTTCAAGGCTCCTGCTGGATTATCTGATCTGGCCTGTAAGTGGTTAGAGAAGGTGTTACTATCTCTTTGACAGAAGGAAAGTGAAGCTCAGAAGGGTATTAAAAGCTTTCTTCAAGGTCATATAGCCCAAAACTTCTAGTCTACTGCCCTTTTCACACACCGGGTAGCCTCTCAGTTTAGAACCCACATAACGTAATGACATTATGTCCACATTCTGGCAGACAACCGTAACACTGCTCAGCTCATAAGGACCTCAGGAATTTAATTGAACAATAATCCCTTTCTCTGATGAATTGATTAATTGATATAAGTAGTCTCAAAGTCACATTAAGGTCATATCGACCTGTATTTTTTTTCCAAGTAAAGAATCTGAAAAATTTTAATGCAGTTTGTGTATTCTACTTATAAATATTATAAACTCATTGTAGAAATTGTAGAAAACACAGGAAAAACTTAAAGGAGAAAATAAAGATCACCATAATCATACTATACAAAAATATTGACACGGGTATACATAATACATATATATT